GCTATGAAAAATAATGCCATATACTAGACTGAGTGATATAAGAAAAACCAAGCAAATTAGGTCACTATGTCGAAGAAACTAAATGAAGTATTGGATCAAGTAGTTTACATGGGTAATTTGATTAAAATGAGACCAAAGAAAGGCTGAATTTTGAAATTACGTTGTTCATTTATAAAAGCAGGCTATAAATGTTAACTTCTTCACACAAAAGTAAAATGGCTGTCATGTGGAAAGGTTTAAATCATGTGTTGAAATTTAAAAAATGAATTACTGTCTTCTCCCCGCCCCGAAAGCAGGAAAAGACAAACTTTTCAACATATCTCAAAAATATTTGGCCGATATTTCTGTTGGCTTTAATACTGTCAGTATAAGTATGCAAGAAAACAATGAAAACATTTTTACTTGTGAATTACATCATTGATTCTGTGAAGGATGAGGCAGTCATTTCTTTAATAATCGAACATTTAAAAACAGTAAAAGAAAATTTTGAAAAATATTTTCCGTAGTGAATACTGAATAATTCAACTGGCTAAGTAATGTAACTGCCTTTTCCATTTTTATACTAGATGAAGAGGAGGACCTGGTAATGCAATCTTCAGAGTGCGGATTTAAAAATTCTCCTGAAAAATCCTGGGTCTCTTTAAAGATTAAAAAAAATCCAGGTCTTGGAAAAAAAAAAAAACACTAAATATATTATTTTTTCCCACATCTGTGAGAGGCTGAATTTTTAACACTGGTTAATACTGAAACAAAGAAATGTGAAAAGTTCAGAAATTTAGAAGAGCTGCGAGTGGTTTATTATTTACTTGCTCTTGTGTTTCTGAAGTCTGCAAAGATCACCAAATTCATGTGCATTAAATAGAGATTTGATTTAACTATTGCAGCTTTATATGGTTTGTAAATAAATATGCAAATTTCAATTGATGTCGGTACTTTTAAAAAAAAATAAAAGTAACACTTTATTAAGCAGACGGGCTAACCCCATGCTCACAATGCACCCACGACACGACTCTTCCCAATTGGGGCATAATTGGGTAATTTTTGCTATTCGGCATTATAGCTACTTTCTGGTAATTTTTGCTGTTCAGTATTTGAAATTGTTACATGTTGCAGTTATTATTAGAAGAGTTATACAGTACAAAGTCCGTAATCCGGAATGATCTATAATCCGGACCTCAAAGCCACAAACTTACGCATGCGCGTAAAACGTTTACCCATGCGCGCTTCCGATAGTGAAGAAAGTGTTATTGAAAACGAAAATATTTCGATTGACAAGTTAGTCGGTATTCTCGACACAGCAATTACAGGACTTGAACAGTGGAACTTTTGTAACTGAACAAGAAATTATGTCTGTTTATAGAATTAAAGAGAAAGTATTAGCACAAAAAACGAAGCAACTTAAACAACTTACATTGAAAGAAATGTTTAATAAAGTAAACAAATAAATATTAAGCTTTTTTTTTGTAAATTTTGATACCCTTTAGATCATAATTGCTCTTTATTTCATAAATTACGGTTTCATATTTTTTATTGTATAATTCCTGAATGCCATCTTACCAGATTTAAATTGATGATCTATAATCTGGAAAAAGCCCTAATCCGGAATCGTCTCCCGACGAGTCTGGATTACGGACTTTGTACTGTATTACAGTTAAAAAATGGTACAGTATTAGTGCAGACTCCTTGGCTTAGCACAGATTGGTGATTTTCTAATGAAGAAAAGGAATGAATTATTTATTATATGCATAGATATTTTAACATATGTATTTTATGTGTTAATTAGGTATATATACTGAAAGTCAGTTCATAAGTGTGTTTACAAATGGATTTTTCCTTCTTTTGTTCCAGTGGAAATTTTGTTAGGATCACTTTGAATTTACAGCAATAGTTAATTGTAGCAGTTCTGCAGCAAATAATGTGCTACTGCAGAATTTTTAACGGTTTTTTCCATTACACCTGAAATGAACAAGCACACATTATTGAGTTTAAGACCCAAAAAAATAACAGTTTTGTCTATAAGAGCCATTGCATCTTGAAGAATAATAAAAAGAACGCACACAAAAATAGCCAAATTGTTTGTTAAAATTGAAGAATTATTATGTGTATGTAGGCCATAGTTTGAAAATCTGACAGCTTCTGCTAAGGTGGCTGTGCTAATACATAAGTCCCTAAAAAAATAACATAGCAGTAGTTTTTATGTTGCTGATAAAATATGAAACAGTGCTAGTCAGGAGCTAACCCAGTAAACTGGAATCATCCCACAAATATGGACTATGAATTGTTATATATGAAATTGTTTTAATAATGGTAGAGAAGAAAATTGTATAAAACACTTATAACAATAACTGAAATAGTTTATACCTGAAAAATTATAGAAAAGGATACTTGCATATTATCCAACTGACTGTAAAACTGTCGCTGAGCAATGCTTCCTTTGATTTAAATGCAACTGATTCTCAATAAGCCATCTTTTGTTTTTATGAACAAGAATATAAATTAACTATTATTATTATGTTTATTTTTGCATTTTGGAAAAAAAAATATGAATAAAATTTGGTACCTGCCTTCTACAAAACAGCAAACAATGTATTATTTTCAAAGTAATAAGATATCATAAAACTGTATCTATTAACAGATATGATAAGTTGATATAGCTGACAAAAACAGTAATAGATTGGAACAATTACTGCAGGAAGTTCATATTCATATCGTTCTAAACAGAAGTCCGGTAAAATTGGAGGGTCTAACAAAATAGTAGAAATCAACAAAAGCCTTTTTACTAAGGGTAAAAATGAAGAGTCAGATATTGGTCGTATATGAAATAAAGAAGCGTCATTTCCTTCTGAATTCTACAAAAATGATTGCTGCAATTTTGTCAGAATCTCTATCAACTTTCATGATTCGATGTATTTAAATTCGTCGGTTGGTGGGATTATATAAGAAGAGCAATTAAAAATTTTTGAATTCCAAATCGAATATTTACAAATGTGCAAAAATCAATATTAGTATTACCGTTTAGAAACACACTTAGTAGGCTTGAGGGATTTAAAAAAAAAAAAAAAAAAGATTGTTTTTATAGTAAATTCCAACTTTATAAGTAATTGAATTATGCATTACAAAATAAATAATTTTGGGGTTGTACAGTAGCTGCCATTTCTACTGGTTTTTCATCACATCTCCTGGTCTAACAAAAAAATCACAGAATTTCCCAGTTTTTTTAATTTTTAGCTTTTGCTAAGAAAAATTTTTCCCAGCAATAAATCAAATTTAATTGTGCAAATTCCATTTCCCTCCCATAGTGATTTTCAGTATAATTTATCTCATTAAATTTTGCATGATCTGAAATATCTTAATCTTACACATATATAGAATTTTTGCTACTATTCGGCTTTGAGGGCCGTAAAAAATTGCCAAACCATAGTTGATGTCAGTGCTGCCAAAAATAATTGCGGCAACCCTAATGCAAGAAAGTATAATAGTAAATAACTGTCTAAGATTGATGTTTTAACTTAGATGAAAGGTTAATTTCATGTAATACTTTATTATTATAATTTATATAAAAAAAGGCTAAACATGATTGAATGAAAGCATAAAATTAAATAACTATTTCAGATCATTATTATAATTTATATAAAAATTGTTAAACATAACTGAATGGATGCCTGCATCGCTATTTCGCTACCAAGTTCGCTAAAGCATAATTTCATCTCGTTGGTTGTTCAAACATAATTTTCTATAATGAATGATGCCTTTTCTTTGAAAAAATTCTTGGTAAAGTGCAGAATCGCCCACTTATTTGTCTGCCGCTTTTTACAAGGTTAAAAAAAAAAGTTAATTTTTGTCAATTTTGTTTTCTACTTTTTAAGTGAAAATAGGTCGATGTGTACATAAAGTCAGGGTTGTGCGTAGTGCCATTTTTGTGCAATTCTGGGAATTTTTTTTAAAGTGAAAATGGTGGGTGATTTTGCACTTTACCCAAAATTCTATTGCAGACTTTTCGTCATGGGCAATTCCCAAATTGTTAAATCCATAGGCTATCAAAAAAAGGATTTAAAAATTAAACTAGTATTTCAATGGCGTTTTAAGAAATATAGAACTATATAAACTTACGCAATCTGAAATCAGCACGTACGCTAGATTTGGCACGCTGTTAAATGGGTACGTTTGTTAGATTTGGCGCTTTTGCACATACATTTTCACTGCAATTTTTTACGATCCTCAAAACGGAATAGTAATACTAAATTTTTGATGAAGATTTAATCAGTTAATATTTGTATTTAATGTTGTTTTACCTCAATATATACCACATTGCTAAGTTTATGTATGGAATCGTAAGCAAATAATTAATGTACACTTAATAATATGTACAATAATTTTATTTATTTATCTTTTCTTATTGAAAAGAATTTTCATAAATAAAACGTTAAGAAAGTACAAAGCAGTGTTTTTGTATTTCATATTTAGTTATTTTTTTCACCATTAGTATTGTACAGTGTATATAATTAAAACTTGTAAATACGTTAATAGTCTCTTATTATACATTTTCAAAGGCATTAAATGATTTACATGAAAAATATTAAAGGAAATTAATTTGTAATAATTTGTTTGTAAAATGTGTAATAACACTTGTTTTTCAGATTTTTAGGTAGCTGATATAAAAGTTATACAATTAGTAATGCATTTTTTATTTTCTGATTCATTTTAGGAATATAAAAACCTTGTTTTAAGTATTTTTCCATGTGCTTAAAAAATAAAGTAACTTAATTCATGAGCATTTTAAACTGTTACAATCAGCTTACTTCTAGGCTTTTTTCTCATCTTCAAAAGCAAATGTTTTGGCTTTTGAAGGACTTATTTCAGTTTGCCCATAATGTTTTACTTTAAAACTTTGCTAATCACACTTTGTTTTTCTCCCTTTTACTTTTATATTGGTATGTTTCCTTCCTATGTACAATTTCAGTCAATGGCTTTTCATCTATACTTTTATGTTTCATTTCTAGGACTCTTTTATGTCTAATTTGCTACGAATCATACAACAGATGAGGCCTAAATCTTCATCTATAATTGATGATGATGAAGATGATGATTGCAAAGAAAATTTTCAATCTGAACTTGAAAAGAAAAGAGAAAAATATCCAGGTTTAGCTATTCCAAACGATGATAATGTCAGAGTAAGTTTTTTTTTTTTTTTTTTTTTTTTTTTTGAGAGGGATAGACTTATTTATTGTTAATTTTTTTAAAGAGTTGTAAATCCTCTTTTTCAAGAAGGATAAATTTATTCATGTCCTTCAACAGTTCATAAAACTATAACAATCATAATTATCATATTGTGATCATAATCATTGTATCTGTTTGATAAATCAAAAATTTAAAAGACAATTATACTGTTCCTATGAAATAAAATGCATTGTCAATACTAACACACTTGAAGATATTATTAGCTCTGTTCCATCTTACTAGTAAAGTTAATATTAACATATTCAAAAAGTCAATTTTGCTCAATTTTGTGAGCCATATGAATTTTTAGAAAATGCATATGAATGTTATTTCCAGTGTTTAAATTTTTTAAAATGCTATTTCCTATTTTTGAAAAGCTATTTCCGTATAACTTTAGGCCCAGAAAAGAATCACATACAACAGGGTTTGTATGGTCCTTTAGACTCCGTAAATGTCCTCATGTTTTTTTAAATCGATTCTGGGTTCTTAAAAGTCTTTAATTTTGGCCAAAATCAGCAAAAGGTCCTTAATTTTAATCATCTGAAATTTTTGTCTGTTTTTAATGACTAACATTTTGAGTGTGAATTGTGAATTTTGGGGAGAATATTTTTGGCGATTCACTGACAAATATGGTTATCTTGTGAATGGGTTCATGGGTTATAATTTGTTTCTATTTCTAAATTAGATGGTAGTGTGACGTCGTGGATGCTTCAGTGGGAACAGAATCAACACTGGTATTGGTGATGAATCACTTTAATTACACAACATAACACAGATACAACATTTAATTAATACATTTAGAAAAACTTGAGTACATATCCGAGTTGGTGACACAATCAGAGACGTTAACAAAGATAACACTCGTCATCTCTGGACAAATTTAGTCTCCACACCTCAGCTCGCTGGCGGAGCTTCCCAAACTCTCTCTGACAGGCGTCTCACCAGAAATCTCATCTCTTTACGCATGCGTATTCCTCAGTTAAGTCGTTGCCATTCACAGTTCTTTAAAATAGGCGTTAAAATGAATTACAGTACTCGTAATGTGAGGAGTTTGCTAACGACGTTCTCTCTAGTCAAGAGCATCATAGGTCTTTCTAGTAGAGTTCAGGAGCGTTCTTTACAGTGGGTTACTGGAGTTTGTGAGCAGGAAGTGAAACATAAGCATTTCAAAATTATTTAATTTTTTTTTTTTTTTTCAAATGAAAAGCTCTTAAACAACTTTTCACTTTTGGGAATGTGAATTCTTTTATTAAACAGTTCTAAATTTGGTGACATATCAACATTTTTGCAGTTTCAGGATCAGTTTCTATAGAAAATTTTTAATTCTGATATCTGGGAATTTTTTTATGATTATTTTTAAACATTATGACATTTATAAATTGTTAAAATAATGGTAATATACAGAAATATATTTAAAAAATAACATTAACATAATTAAAAAAATTATTTTTGCTTTCATAATATAAAATGACATTATTTTCCATTTTGGCAACTTATACAATATTTTGAATCTGAAAAATAAACAAGGTAATAAATGCTATAAAGCACAATTTAAGAAACAATTCTTAGCAAAAGCAAATTTGATATGTAATTAATTAAAAATGTCTTCTCAAATTTTTCATGCTAAGAGCACCTATGTAATTTTCATTTTGTTGCTCAGCATGTTACTAAATTCTAAAAATTCTGCCACACCAGCTCTGTAACCAGCCCTTGCCATATATATTTCATATTTCTAAAGAAATAAAATTAGCAGCTTTTTCTATATATTCAAAATACATTTAGTTTTTTTAATAACAGAAATCTTTAATTAAATCCAAAAATTCTAAAATGAAAAGGTTAGGTTAGGTTATTTAATTACGGCAAAGCCTCAAGGGCTATCTGCCTAAGGGAAGGGATGCCTTCGTGGAGGACTTTCTAAGGAAAACTGGCTCGTATACACGTTACACATGGGGAAAACCACAAAAACACCCATGCAGCCAGCTTGTTCGCGGGATTCGAACCTTGGACCGAACTACCAGTGTTCAGCGACTTTACCGCTCGGCCGCTGGTGGGCCCCTAAAATGAAAAGGAAACATATTGAAGAAAGAAACTGAATACATAAAGAGAAAGAAAATTATTCTTCAAAGATACGTACAGTTAATTATTATGTAAATTATCCAGTTGTTTATAATTTAAGCCTTTACTATGATTTCCCAGTTCTATTGTTTCACCAGAATGCAAATCACTTAGACAGTTTTTAAACTGAGGTTTTTGGAGTGTAAGGCAGAGTGTGTTTCTGACCTCTGCTTGCTTGCTGCATTAGTTCTTGCCAGCTCTGATAATTTGTAATTATTCATCTGGGCATTGTCACTGCCAACATTTGAATCTGTTATGATGATAAAGTTACTGAGTCAGCTTAAAATAAAATCCAATTTTTTAGTCTTTGACCACTAGTCCACATTTTTAGTTTGAATTTGACTCTTCTTGTTTAATTACACCACCACAAGCTGTAATTGATTTTGTTAGCATAAGAACATGCCTTTATGCTCTAAGTCCTTTTTAAATAAGAGGCTTATTTAAACCTTTATCTGACTTTGTAGTTACTTTCAGACATAGTGATAATTTGCTTCATGCCTGTTGGCGGGGTTTGGACTTTTACGCTGCAGAAGAGGATTGCTGACCCTACGGCTAAAAAATTTGCCTCACAGCATTATTGTCTTTCTCGAGCTCCCCTTTGATGTCTATAGAGATAATTAAAATGTGGAGGCCTTCTTTATGTGCCTGTATATTGTTAATGAGGCTATTGACCGCGTGTTCTGTAGAGATCCCTTCCTGAATCCAAACTGTAGTTCGTTGATAATGCTGTTTCTTCTAAGAAAGTAATTTAGATGATTCAGGATAACCTTCTCCATGACATTACTAAGAGAGGGCAGGAGGCTGACTGGTCTGTAGGATTCTGGATCTGAGTCTCTTCCTACTTTAAGAAAGAGAGCCACTTCTGCAGTTTTCATTTGATCAGGGAAAGTACCCACTCTCCAGCAGCTTGACATAATGTGAGTAAGAGCTCTGGGAATTCTGACTGTGTCACTTTCAGCATTGCATTGTCAATGCTGTCTGGGCCCGGAGCCTTGTCAGTAAAAATATTGCGTATAATTCTATTTAGTTCCGGCAGTGTTGGTGATACCTTTTCTCTGTCACTGCTGCTCCAGCTGCGGGTATAGAACTTATGTCTAATTCTTTTCTGTGTATCTGAGTCCCCTGACTCTTCATCTTTTTTAAGTATCGTGGTCAGAATTCTTTCCAAAATCTTCCTACTCACCCTCTAGGTGGGGTTCGAAGGGGCACTAAGTTGCAAGGGATGAAAGACCCTGTTAGTAGCTATTCTGTGCGTTAGATCGTAGATTTCAATGAGGTTGCTACAATGTTTTTTCCAGGATTCATTCTTAGCCGTTATAATAGCTTTCTTGTACACTGCCATTTCTTTTCGGTAAACAAGCATTTTTTTAGATCTTTGTTCTGCATTAGAACCCTCAAAGGTACATTGTGGAGAGGTTGACAAGTTAGGAGATAAAGCAAGGAGAAACTAGGGAGAACACTGGTTTGCATATTGAGACAAATTTCTAATTGTTAGAAAAGATGCTAAAGAGAAGAAAATAGATATAAATTAGCCAAAGTGTCTGGAAAAGCTTCAAATTAAAAATTAAATATTTTATTGAGTGTTCAAATTAAATATTTTATTGAGTGTTGTTGCTATAAAACATGTTTTATAGCTTTTAATGTTAAATTATCCTAATATCTTTTAAGAATCAGTGTCATAATTTACATGTGTTTTAAACTGTGATTGTGATTAGGGCCTTTTTTAACAAATATTGTTAAAAAATAAATAAAATTTAATAACAGCCATGTATATCCATAATGGCGAAGATTATCTAACTACCTAATTTAATTATTTATAACTAACTGCTTACTCTTAAAAATTATCTGTGCTTATTAAAGTGAGTTATTGCTTTTCATTAATCCTTACCTTGGTCCCAAGATAAAACACAAAAATATAAAAATTCATATAAAACTTATTTTTTGCATCTAGTGAGACTTAAAATAATACAAAACAAATTATCATCTCTGGTGCTTTAGTGGCTTATTGGAACCGTAAAGTATATTAGCTGGATTAAAACCCTCGGAACTCTGCATGAAGCCACAACACTTACTGCCTCAGGCAGAGCCCAACTAACTTTCAAAACTTGCCGACCGTGCCTACATCCAGCCTTTCAGGTTTGTTCTTATCAGTAGGTCTCTCTCTAGGCAAGCAGCAGCGATGACAACAGCCAGTCATTTGTTATGAATCATGCTGATTATGATTTCATTTCTCATTTTAACCTGTACCACTTGATAAAAATCTATCTGCTATTTACACCAAAACCTAGACTGTGCAAGTGTATGACAAAATGAGACATTAAAAAAAAAAAAAAAAACAACATAAAGTTAACTGTTAGTAAAACATAAATAAAATGTCACTTATCTTCTTTCAAATATGTCCAACTATTGCAAGTGTAAAATATTTAATGCTATTTGATAAATTTTGTAAAGTTTATTTTATTCTCAAACTTACTGCTCTCTCTGTCCCAAATTAGTTGCTACATTTGAATAAAAATGCTGTAGCTGTGAGCTATGGTACAAAGAAGCAGAGAAAAAGAATAGAAACAGCAAAACATTAATGAGACAGAAAACATTTTATTGAAAGGTTATGCTACAAGAGGTGTTTGAAATTACGACCAGAAGTTGTCTGGTAGGCTTGACAGCAATGCTTCATGGAATTCCTTACATTCTGGAAGATTCCTGATATGTCATATATCCTCCTGCTAACTCCAGATATCAAGCTATGAGGTCTTCAACTAAGCCCACACATGGACATTGTGCTGATTGAAGGCACCCTCGCGTGTGAAGTATGCTTCATCTGTGAACAATACAGATGCAGCAAATGTGCTGTCTGTAGCATTCTGTTGCAGGAACCATGTAGCAAACATCCTCCAAAGTGGATAATCCTTAATCTCTAATGATTGGACACAATGAGGATGGTATGCACTTTTTGGTTTGCTGCAAGTATCCTCCAGACAATAGATTGAGATATACCCACTTGTTGAGATATTGCTTGAGTACTTGTACTTGGATTGTTTTCTGCCAGGTGTCCTTGTCGTTCGCTGTCGATGCAGTGTAGCTCTCATTAAACAACCAGTCTCGCATAACCTTCTGTTCACACTTGTGAAGGTTGTGTGATGTAGAGCACACCTGTTTCAGTAACTTTCTTGGCACAGTCATCGATTGCCATGCCCGTTACAATCTGCAGCTCCATACATGATCAGCATGTCAACCAGTCCATCATTTGAATATATGTTCATCCTACTACCACGGGAAACAGATCGCAAATGAAGACTTACAGGATCGCTGTACATGCAAGCTTCTATTCAGCACCATCTACTGCAAGACTGCCGGGAGGAATCTTCCAGAATGTAAAGCATTCCATGCAGCTCAACTGCCTGGCCTGCCTGATGACTTCTGGTCGTAATTTCGAACATTTTGTTCTGGTACAAACTTTCAATAAACTTATTTCTGCCCCATTAATGTGTTGCTGTTTCTGTTCTTTTTCTGTGCTTCTTTGCACCATAGTTCACAACTACGGCTTTTATGACTCTACATTCTTATGTGATTCCGGGAACCCTTACACATCCTGCAAGTTTGTCAGTCTGGTAGTGAATCACCTTGTGTATTACAAAATGATGGTTGATTTGAGGTAGAACTAGTACTCTAGGTACGAGTGGCATTGAGGAGTGAATTGCATCTTAAGAGGAGATTCTAAAGAGATACAAAGTCTTTAAACTTTCAAATATTGGATTGCTGATAAATTTCTGTCCGCTTTAGCAGTATACTCTGAATGTTTACTTAATGCATTGCCAAAAGGTTGGTTCTCTCTCTCTCTCTCTCTCTCTCTCTCTCTCACACACACACACACACACACACACACACACACACAAAAAAAGACATCATCTGCACTGCAAATATATTTGGAATTGTCTTTTGCAACTAGAGAGATAAATAGTTAATGTCGTGTATTGTCAGTAACAAACATCATGATGTCATCATGTAACTCAGAGGAATTCCCATTTCTTTATTTTCATCTTCCAGTCCTTCTTTATCGTGTGCTGCTACAGTAGTAGTAATTAATGTTTTTACAAAAAATTAAATTTTTGTAATGAGTCGGTAATACTCATTTTGAATGTATCTGATTCATGAAACAGCTTTACTGTAATATTATTTAAAAAACATTTCTTGTTAACACTAAATATATGCATTGAAATTTTTACTTGTGCAACAAGTACGTGTTGCACTCGCTAAACTATTAATAAAAATTTGTTGCGATATTCAGAAACTGATAGATAAATATTAAAAATTTCCAACTTAGATTTGTTATAATAAATCTAGGAAAATATGCAGAAATTCTAACAACTGCTTATTTTTTATAATTTGTGTGAACTGAAGTAAATTGAAAGAATATGTTTAATGAGGTTACTAGATGACACTGCAAATCCAATTTCTTGTTTTGCTTTTAAATTTTTGAATGATTAATTAATATGATGAATAATTTCTTAAAATAAAAAATGAACTTTGCATATATCTTAGATGAACACATACAAATTGATGATTGGTGCGATTTGATGTGACACACTATTTTAGTGTTTATTTAATTATGTCAGTGCTTAAACATTTTAAAAATATTTACACAGTCAAATTTTTCATGTGATTCTTGTTGTCCAGCTGCTTCTCAATGACATCTAAATTTTTTGAAATGTCCTTTGGGAAGCAATAATGCCCATATTAGGAAAAGCACTTGTAGAAGTTAATTGATAGTGAAAATGGTGAAAGAAATGATTTATTATCCTATGAAAACTTTATGGGTAATCTGTAACAACATCATCTAAACATAGTGCACTTGATAATTATTGAGGGTGTTCCTTACATTGTGAGGCATTAGTTGAAAGCAATGTTATAAACAATCAATTTTTAATTTCTGAAACTTTCTTACACTTTTTTTTTTTTTTTTTTTTTTCAGAATATGTTGGATGAGGATGAGAAGATTGCTGAAGAAGCTTTAGCTGAATTGGAAGCTTTTGCTCCCAAAATGAAGTAACTTAATTTTTTAGTGCCCTTTTAGTCTTAATATTAAACTCATTGCAATATTATATATTGAAAGGAAGGCTGTTATTACAGCAACTACTGTAAGCTGTTGTTATTAAAGAAAGTTCTCTGTGAAAGCTATCATTTTTTGTAAATATAATGAAGCTATTTTTTAGAAACTTTTTGTAATTAAATAAATACTATGCATAAAAATTATATTGATACACTATCTAAACATTATGACTGTGTATTTATATATTAATATAATATTTAATACAGTATAATAAGCACCTATAATTTTTACTTCTTCAAAAACACTAATATATACACAAAATATTCTAACTAATTCCAATTGAAGAGATGGAGTGTATTCTTCCTTAATCAGGACTAAGTCATTTACAGACAAATTTTCGTGAGATTTCTTCCACTTATTTCAGTGTTGTGGTTCGGAGAAATATTCTCAGCTCCAATTTTTCGAAAATTTTTGGAAACTTAGTAGTTTGGCTTTCCACCAATTGCTGTGTTTTATTATGAAGGTAGCAGCAAAATCCATATTGATTCGAAGGAAAGCTTGTGAAGCTGTAATTATAGATGATAATAAGTCAGCCATTATTTGTCTTGCAACTTGGACATGATATCTACAGCAAACAACACAGTATTTAAGGACTTTTCTTATTTCAGATCTAGTAGCGAGAACTCAAAATTTTGCTCTTATTATAGAAAGTAAAATTGCAGGAGGTGCATGCAAATATTTTTTATGATAACATCTAATGATGAGCATAGAAATGAAATATTTTTGAGGAATGAGCATGGGATGCCTTTGATTTTTCAAAATGTTTGAATTCCTTAATTGTTCTTCTCCACAAAAAATTCCATTTTCATCAAGGAGGGGATTTGAAGATAGTATTCGGCTGCTCGATTTCAAAGATTTTCTACTCTTTAAGCTTGATACCCCATCAAGATATTCATAATGTTGTAAAGTTCTTAACTGTTGTACAGCTTGCATTATCAAGTTCTTCACTAACAAGAAACCCTGTTTTCTTAAAAGTGTGTTTCAAACAGTTGATAAATCTGAAACAAATAAGCAACAAGAGCTTATAATTTTGAGCAAGTTGAAAATTTCCAGAGAAATGAATCATCACCAATTTTAGCGAAACTGAAAATAATGTGTTTTGTTTTTCCTTTGGTTACTTCTTGACTGTCTAATTTAATGTCTATTTGTTCATCCAACAAAGAATCAGGATAATAATTCTGTAACAAGGAAGATCCATTGAACCACTGATCACAATCAGTTAATTCATTACATTGTGAGCCTCTAATACCATAATTTGCAGGATTATTTTTTCCTTGAACATGATTTTATTTCACCTCAAGAATGATGATTTGAATTTTTGACACTTGTTTAGCTACAAAATGAAGCCATTTCTGTGATTCAGAGGCAATTGAGAAAAAGGTGATAGTAGAATCTGACCATGTGAAACAATTACTAGCAGGACCATTTGAACATTTCATCACTGCCTTCAGCAAATTTGCTAAAAATAGTGCAGAATATAATTACAATGTTGATAAAAATTTCACTTTAAGTGGTGCAGCTCTTGTTTTTGTATATATAAATGACATTTTAATTTCTTCCTCAGGTTTAGTATACATAGCTGTACAATACATCTTGCCACATGAACCACAAAAGACATGTAACTCCATCGTATGATAATTATCAGCTAAAATTACTCCATGACAGTGATTATAAATCATTGATTGTTGTGGGTTGAGAGTTTCATCACAAACTAACTTATTAGTTCATCAGTCTTTGAGAACTATTAAATAACATTTTTTGTTAGGCATAGAACAAATATATTCTTTCTTGATATAATCCTTTACTACTGCTGGCTGAAATACTTTAAAATTTCATATGCCAGTTTCTATTTTGTCACCTTATTTCAACTAAAATCATTCTTTTGTTTTGTTGTACTCTGCATAATACCAATAGATTTGTTCATTTAACCATATCCCTGTAAAATTTCTTTCAATTTGAGACTTTATCTCCGAGATCTGTACTTTGCATTTTAACCTGGCATTGTAATAATGTGTATTGAATAACTTGACTTGTTCTTCAATGTGATGAAGTGGTAATGTAAGCAAAAATTTGTATATGAAATCATTTGTGTATTTTTTAAATATATATTCTTTTTTCCTTTCCTCTGCCATTTCTTTTTTTATTTTATTTTAATAGTTGTATCAATTTTTTGCTGTTGTAAGTGCTTACAGAGAAATCGAATGCAGTTTAATTGCGGACTATGTATTCATACTGTCAATTTACTTTTAGAAGTGCAAAGAAAGAATCGTTATCCCCAGATTCCAGGAAATCAAAAAAAGACAAAGCGAAACACAAGTCATCAAAAAGGTATTTGCACTTTTTACATATAGAATAAAATAGTTTTTTTTTCTTTTAAAATTTAAATTTTTTGTTAGTTTATGTTGTCATAGTTTACTGTAGTTCTTCCTAACACCTTATTATAAATATTTTGAAGTACTTCAGTATTGAATTTCTAAAATAACTTTCAACTATAATTGTTTCAGAGTTCCATGCTGTACAAAATTATAGTATCTAAATGATGCATATTCAAAATCTACATCTCAATCAATTAAGTAATATTGCTTTTGAATCTAGAAAGAAAGTAATTGAAAAATCAGCATTATTGAAAATTCTTAAATGATATTGTAATACTTTTTGATTATCTACCAAAACGTTGCTAATTCATTGCCAACTTTAGAGAGCATTCATGAACTATTTGGCAACACCTGTTTTCAAAACTGTGGTAAACTAAGAATTCCAGACTAGAGCAACAACAGTAAAATTTAAAAAGCAAGAAACTGCTAATAAAAATTCACCCTTTCTGAGAAATTTTGTTTGTTTGTGTGTGCACACACGCATGTGCACAGCAATAATTTTTTGCGTAAAAAAATCAGAGAATTGTACAAATTTGACATCCATACAGCTTCAGCTCATGCTGGTCAAAACCAGTTATGTGCATACATAACATGGGTTGCCACATAGATACTTTCTGGCAATATCATGGATTGCCATATAACTTTGTTGACATATTGGTTTACTTCATAATTGCTTTTTCTTAACATTTCGGTAGGGATGCAGATAATTAAAAAGTACTAATATTACTTTTGAATTAAGGAAGAAATTAAGTAAAAAATTAGCACTGTTATTTGAAAATTTTTGAAGTATATGACTGGAATACCTGAAACTTTGTTTTTCTTGGTACTTATATTGTATTATGCCAATGACCAGGGAACTGTTGTCAAGCAGCACAATTTTTTGTCAGTTATGGATAAGCATTATGTAACAGCATATTAATAACTACTGCACTTTCAGCTGATATAAACTTGGTCAGTTAATGATAAACCATCTTTGTTTTTATGAACAAGGATATATAAAACAACTGTTATATTTATACTGATTTCTTTTATTTTGACAAAGTATTAAAATTTGGGACCTGCTTCCTACAAAACAGCAAACAGTAAATTATTTTCAAGATTATGGTATCCTACCGGGAAAACAATTTATATACACTATTGTTTTAACTGAATATGGCCAGCAAAACAATAATAGCTAGCATGATTAGTTTCGTGAAGTAGTCACAGTGATTTTATACTCACAGTTTACTAAACAGAGCTTCTGGTGAAATTGGAGAACTCATCAAAATAGTAGAAATTGACAAAAGCCTTTTTAGGAAGTGCGAAAAACAAAAGGCATTGAATACTGATTGTTTATTAAATAAAGAGATAGCAATTCCTTCAGAATACCATAGAAAGGATTGGTGTAACTCTGACGGGATCTTCACCAACTGTCATGTTTCAATGGTAGCCAACTCTTACAGTTAATGGGATAATACATAAGTATCATTTCAAACTTATTTGTTTTGTTTTGATTTTGAGATTGGAAGTGCTAATGTATTTCACAACAGATCTTAGTAAATTGTTATTTTAATGTGCAGTTTAAACTTAAATGAAAAGAGCGAAAAAATTCTGAATGACAAAAAATTGAAGTCAGCACGACTTGCAGAAAATTCTGTTTGGTAGCATCCTGGAAGGTTTTAAAGCATGAATTTAAATAAATATAACAAAATAAGATGGAAATTATTATGTACATTAATGATCAAAATTATTTTGATGTAAAAGAAATATTGAAATATAATTAAAATCAAGAAAATCAGTTTAAAGTGTATATATTTTCTTGCCTCCCATAAAAGGCTTAAGAATAGTGTGAAGTCATGTGGTTCTGAAGAATAATTGGTATGCATTCACTTGAATAGATAAAGAATGTTTTCTTTGTCCTTTTTAATACTAGCTGCCTAAAATAGTAAATATAAAAAATAAAAAAATAAGTAATTTTAAGGCTCTTGTAACTCTTGTAATTTCATAAAATAGATAATATTTTAAATTAGTATCTCATAATTTAAATGCATTTTTATTTAGATCAGTCAGATTAAAGAACATAAAAATTATGAATTGGGTATGGTTATTGCTTTTAATTGCTTTGGTGTGTTAACTGGTAACAAACAAATTAAATCTGAAGGGTTTGTCTTATGCTTTGCCTAGTGGAAATTTCCTCATGGAAGATAAAAGTATTTTGTTTTAAGCAGTTGCAACACATTTCTTTAATATAGCTGAATTTGTTGAACAAAAGTGGAAGATAAATATCAGGTTGTAGTGAAAGTTTTCTACCAAAAAAAAGGGAGGTTCTTAATAAAGTTAGTAAAAAACATGAAAGCAGTACCTCTAGTGCTGGTGGAAGTCACCACCCAAATCTGTGATTTTCTGCCAAAGTTTTAGTAGTTTTTCAACTTCAGCCCAGAAATGTGGTGGTCATGAGTCTGAAAACGGATCAACCTCACTTCGGACGTCCTGTGCAGAATGGAAGATAGCACCAGCAAGATGTAGATGCAGGTGTGAAAAAGGCAGAAGTCCAAAGGAGCAATGTCAAGGCTATGTGGTGGGTGTGGCAAAAGATCCCATTTGAGTCCAGCCGGTGAATGCATACACATGTGGTCTTGCATTATGTTGATCGAACACTACTTTTTCGTGCCGAAACTCAGTTTGATGTTTTCTTGATAGCAGCATTGACACGGACTTGCATCTCGTTATACACCTAACTGTTGAGGGTTTTACCTTTTTCCAGATACTCTTAGGGGAAAATTGCAGTCCCATCAGATACAAAACATGATTTTTTTTATGCAAATTGTGCTTTACAATGCTGCTGCTCATCGAGCGCAGGCCAACCCCCTTTTCAGCCTCTGTTGTAAATCCACTTTTCATCACAAGTGATGATTCGGTCCAGAATTTGTCCTTGTATTGATATTTGAGCAGATTAGTGCAGGCCTGAACACGTCTATCTGCTTGATTCAGTTCATGCGGCACCCAGCGATTGAACTTGACATCAAGTTTGTGCGATGCACAGTGCATCTAATCGACATAGCACTAATGTCTGACTCCTTAGTAAGCTCTCAAGTGGTTGCATGCTGATCTTTTTCCAGAAGCCCTCATCAACATCCGTAGGCCGGCCAGAGCACTTTTCTTTTTCAATGTCATAGTCCTTGTTTTTCAACTTTTGATAGCAAACCTTTACAGTGTCATATGGTACAATGTTAGTACCTAAAGCTGTACACATGATTTGGTGACATTCTGTAGCTGACTTTTTGCAACAGAACTAGAAGTAAATAATGGTTCTAATCTGGTAGCGTGATAGTTCCATTTGAGACACCTTGTACTTAATGATAGTGATATTTTTTTACAAATTTGACAACACAGTATTCTATAGCAAGTCTCTTTCTTTCAAATGCCCAAAATCGTTTGACAAAATATAGTTAAACATGCCAATGTGAACTGTTTGTGCAGATGATATTTGCAGTGGCGGGAAACTTTTATTAAAACCTGATATCTTACATTTTGCTGAATCACAACATTGTAGTGTACTGGAGGTGAAAAATTTTTATGTCAAGTAGTGGCAACACTGTTTGCTTTTAAATTGTTGAGTTTGTCAATACATTTTCCATCAAGTGTATTTTGTAAGTACATACAAAAGCAAGAGCGTAATTCTCTAAGGTTATGCCTAAATGAGTCAAATCACAGAAACATCAGTTGCTTTGCATTTAAAGGTTCAATAATGGTAGTTTAGGAAATGATCTCTTTGTTCTGGGATATATCTGACTTCAGAATGGAACTAAATTTTGTATTTAGAAAACATTTTATTTATTAAATATTTCAATTTAAGGAATTCATCTTATCAAGAAGTGCTTCTGGTTTTTATTAAGTTTTATCTGCATCAAGCATTTAGTTTAATTTCTTGAAAATTTTGAGTCATCAAAATTCAACAGTACAGGGATGTCATAAATAAACTTCACTGACATGTGAACCTCTCGTGATCTATCAACTCAGTCAACTGAAATGAAATTTCAGGTATAGTTACTTGAAGGTATACGCTCTAGATTGTGATGATTTTAAGTAATAGGGCTCTCACAGTTACAGTTACAATGAAAAAATGCTGAAATTTTTTAAATAGCAACATCTACTTTTTTCTGCGCAAATTGATAAGTGCATCGAAAAACCATAAATGGCATTGGAGTAATACACTTATGATGACAATTGCCGGCATAAAATGCTTGCAAAGAAGAGCATTGTAAAGAACCAGCAGGGTTCGTAGCGGTCCTTATAAGTGCTTATAAGTCCTTATATTTGAAAATAAAATATAAAGGCCCTTATAGGTGCTTACTTTTTCTTTAAAGTCCTTATTTTTTTGTTTTTAGTGCTTATTTTTTGCTTTTAGTGCTTTTTTTTAAAGGAACGCGCAATTTTTCCCGGTACCAAAGCCGAAACTAAATAAACAACTTTTCTTCCTAATATGGAATGTCAGATAGTGAATCATACTCCCGGAAATAGCTTTTCCCTCTTTCTCTGCATTAAACATAACCTCTGGTGTGCACGGAGAGTACAGACAGGTGTCCGTCATTCTGTTGGTCAAAGCATTGCGAAAGCAGTAGAAAATTCCGGTACATTTGGCATTCTTTTCCTCCCACCCAAATACTACACGCGTTTGAATTTCTATCAAGATCTTAATAATTTGCATTCTCATTCCGCTTGGTCAGTTCATATTCGTGTTTATTATGATCGTTATGCTTATATTATGAGCATATGTATGAATGTTTAGAATAACATAGTTGCAGTAACTGCTAAAGTATAGTAAACTTCCAAAAATGGTTGTGTTTTAACACAGATTAGCTTTCTAATTAATAATATTCGGAATGGCGTAAATAAAGGGAAAGTAATTGAATAGTCAAAATAATTTCATTTTTTTGGCCAATACATTATACAGTACGAACGTTGGGAGGTTCTCCTCTTTCTCCGCAAAATCTCGAATATTGAAACTGTTACAGTTTGTTGCAAAACAAGCAACGGACTTTTTTTTTTTTTTTTTTTTGGTCACTTTCCAATCTGGATTGAATAGGACTAAAAGTTCTGCGGTAATTTAACGCAATCTGTTGAAAATTAGAATGAAAAACACCCCAAGTCTCTTTCTTTTCCTTTATTTAGTTCTTTATTCTCCCAATATCGGCAGCTGTTGAATACGATTGCGTAATATCACGTAGGGAAGAATTACGGCGCACGCGCACGTATTGCGCAATAACGTTTGCGATATTTTGCAGAGATAATTAATTTTGATGTTCGGTCCAAGATTTGTTTATGAACACTTAAAAGAGTTTTTGCTAAGCTTTTCTGTTCCGTTGGTTTGTTTTTATATGATGCACATATCGAAATGTCAAAAGCATTTATTTAGCGGAAAATCTAAAGAGCGGCTACAGTCTCTCCCCCCCCCATCCGCTCCTTCAAGTTACGCTCGACTGTCCGAATATTCGCCAATTCCAAGTATGCGGGTTAGTTAAGCTTTTACTGTTAAAGATGGCTGCATGAAGCAAATTTCTGTCTTCTGATTTCAGAAATGTTCCTCTTTTTTACTTAAATTACTTTGCTTGCAATATCTGTTAAGGAAAAACTGATATACGATGAAAATTTAGAAAATGTTCAGAATTTAGATTTAATTTAATTAAATATCAATATGAGTGGAAAAATAAATTGTGTTTAATATTAAGTTCCAAGCAAATAGAATAAATATGCCTTATTATTTTTTATTTCCTCTATTTTGAACTGAAATTTCATCATTAAATCTTGTAATATAGTTTAGTTCTGCATAGTTTTTTTTTTCTCTCATTGTAAACTAGTTCTGTAAATTGAACTGTTATTTAAAATTTAAAGTAATTATTTTCCATGGTTGAGGTAATGCTTATTTTCTCTTAATAAATACTGCATTTCTCATATTTTAAATTACGAGTCTAATTTTTAAGGTTATGCAGTTGTGTATAATGTAATTAGACAGGTGCTTATTTTTTTCTTAAAATGTGCTTGAAAAGTGCTTACAGGTGCTTATTTTTTTAACTAAAATGTGGCTATGAACCCTGACCAGTGACAACATAAGAGAAGAAAGAGACAAAAAAACTTTTATTAGAATTGCAAGTTTTCTGTTAGTGCAGCATTTCAAGGTAGAGTCATGTTCTGTAACGTTGCAGCTTTGTGGCCAGCGTGATCCCCCAATGTCATTCCAGTGGATTACTGGTTCTGGGATTATCTAAGATATACACTTCAAATATATGAGATTTGTAAGATGCCATAAAATTGCAGCTTCCTCTTGCAATGTTATGTTCGTTGGTGTTGTCAAAAATCTCCCACATGCAATGTGTTATTGTCTATGGAGGTGGGCATCTTGAAAACTTGTAATTCCAATAAAAGTCCCCCCCCTCTCCTCTGTTGTGTTGTCATTGGTCTTTATAATGCTGTTCTTCAGAAATGTTTTGTATGTGCAATTTTTGTCATTTGTGTATCATTCCAGTGCCATTTATCGTTTTTCAATACACTGATCAATATGCACAGGAAAAAAGTGGGTGCTGTTGTTCGAAGATTAAAAATATTTTTCACTGTAATCATAACTGTAAGAGTTCTATTGTTTTAAATCATCACAATCTTAAGCACATACCTTCAAGTAATATCTGAAATTTCATTTTAATTGGTTGAGTGGATCGGCCGCTAAGGGTTTATATATGAAATAAGTTTTTTTATGACCACCCTGTAACTAAATTCTACTTATCTGCTTTTTTCTTTCACAGGAATCATTCTGAAGAAAGGCATCACAAGAGAAGGTATTCACGGTCAAGGTCTCGGTCTAGATCCCCATCATACAAAAAGAAAAAATATAGGTATTCTAGGTCTAGGTCAAGGTCCCCTAGGAAAAATAAGAGCTGGCGTAGCTCTAAGTCACGTTCTTTGTCACCTCGATCTGATAAGAAAAGTCGTCATCCTGAGAGCAAACGATCTGAGCGGGAAAAACCACCTCCGTTGCCATTGGAACCAGTAGTAGGACAGGTAATTTGTCCATTAAAGTGCAGAATTGCATAAATATTGCTATCCTTTATTCTATTCTAAACTGAATAGAAATGTACATATATTATTTTAGTATAATATTTATTAATAAAACTAAAGCTTGTTTAATATATTAAATGAGGGGATAAACATATTTAGGATCTTTAATTCTTCAAAACATGCACTTCAAATATTTATTGCAGAGTTTTTACATTTAAGACATTCAATACATCCTGATGTGATTTGTTCCATATATCGATACAGCATTCTGTTACTCTTTCTTGTGAAGATATGAAAGTTTGGATTTTCAGATTAAATTCACCTCATAGAAACTGGCTAAATCTGGACTCTGAAGCAGCTTGTTGCAGAGTGTGGCTCTTTAACACTTTTTCTCTTAAGTTAGTTTTGATATAGGTTAGAAATTTAAGTAGACAAAGCAAGTAGTATCATTTTGTAAACCATATTTGCTGTCTTGTGTGTCTGTGTTGCATTCTGTAATTATTCGTGTAAAGTATCAACATTTTTTACTATAATTATACAGAAACTAAGCCACATAATAATACTTGGTGGCATCCTAGAATTTATTGCAGTTTGATATTTATTATTTAAATGTACAGAAAAATTTTACCCAATTTTGCCTCAAAATTAGCCATTTCATGAATTACCGTTTCCTTTAGAATACACTCTTTCTACCTTTATAAACCGCAGTATGTGTAATATAAAATATATTTTCTTGTCTATCATGTCTTATTGTCAAAACTATGTCCATGACCATTTATTAATTTCCTAGATGATACTGCTTGCTGTTGGCGAGTATAAAAGGTTAGCGATTGTTTTATCTCTAAACCAGCCCCAACACAGAACCACTTTTATGTTGTAATATAGTGTGTTATACTACATTGATGTTATCAGATAGTTAGTGGACAGTTTTACATTTGTTATTGCCAAAATGGACTCTCTTGGAACAGAACTTATTTTCCAGTCATGCTGCCTGATTTTCATGGTTTTGACTAACAGTAGCCTGTAACAGCAGAATCAGGTTGAGTACTTCCAGTTCTTTTCTACTAGACTTAGTCATTTTATACATTTTTAGCATGCACAGAAACAAACCTAATATTTTTTTCTTTTTAAATATCAATAATATTAATAATAACAACATGAAATTTAAATATGTAAGTGTAATATTTTTCTCAGATCTACTCCATTATAGGACTAAACAGTCGTGAAACTTTTATAACAAGAAGTGTATCTGTTAAGCTAATTATTTCATTGTACAAAGAAGTAGAAACATTTACAAAATATATTATTGACATTGCTTACTTTGGAAACAAGAATAACGTTAAAAAGTTTAAGAATAACACAGTTAATTTAAAGATGGCAGGTAGACAACATTGTCGGTTAAGATATGTTAAAATGGGTTTTTCTCTTTATTTCAGCATCTGCACATAAATTCATATAAATAAGAATAAAATAACGTATCACTATTACCACAGTGTATTTTCTTTCAATTTGGGGCATGTATCTTTTTACAGAAAACTACTAACTCTTATGAATTGTATAATGCTTTAAATTAAGAATGACTAACCAATGTTGTTCATCCTTGAACCTTTGCTTTTAATTTCCAATGATCTGTGACCTGTATCAAAAGATTTTTTTTATTATTATTATTTTATTTACGAATATTGGTGTTTACTTGTGGAGGGCATGGAAAAAAATGAATTTTTTTTACTGCTCAGTTATCTTTCTTAGATTGTTTTTGATTACTCTCATTTTTGAAAGCATTATTTGTAAATATTAACCTTAAATAGCTTCGTGCCACATACATTTTTTTCTCTTTGCCCATTTGAATCGTATTTGCCAAGATGTGATGGAACTTCTAGGGCTGGAAATAATAACTAAAGTAAGCAACTCATGGTCTGAAATTTGTTCATCTCATATCTTAAAACTAACATCAGAACAGTTTGCAGAATGCAAATTTTAAAATTAGATCATAATAATAAGGTTTATAACATCCTCAGAACTGTATTATTGGAATTTTAGAATTCACACTTTTAAATATATAAAAATAACATTTTACCTGTTTTCCAGAATAAAAATTTTAAAACTTATGATTCCATTTTAAATTGCTTAGCAAACTGTTGCCATCCACAGCTTCAAAACAAAGAATAATTAAATTAAACATTTTGATGTTTTTCATTGTTTCCAAATACTGAAATAGTGTTTCTGTATTTTAACAACTCGTGTAAATTTTATGAATAAAATGCCAGATAAGGAAAAAAATTAACTTGAAATTTTGAGCTTTTTTTTTACAACTCCAAGCAGTAACAATTTTTCCAAGTGAAGGTGTCCAGAGCAAATCCAAATATCTTCATCATCCAGATACTTTCATAAATTTACATTCCAAATATAAATAGAATAGCAAATATAAAAGAAGTATTACAACACTTTTTACACTCTGCAAACATGAACATTGATCAGCTCAGCTGCCTGCATCCATGGCACATACATTTTTTTCTCTTTTTTTTTTTTTTTCTAATATAAGATTGTTTGATGTATTTTCTCCTAAAATGAAAAAGATCTTTTTTGTTTGCTTGCTTTACCTCTCCTCAGTAACGCAAGCATGATTTCTTTTTCTCCCTATTCTTGTTCACAGCTCGCTTACCCAATCTTATGCTCATAAATGTGACTGTCATTAATCAATAAAAGTACTATAATTTTTGCTATTTTAGGCACTTTGTATTACAAGAGAATTTCAGCAGTGAAATTAAATAAATATTTTAATATCATTAACCACTTTTATTGATCCATTGATTAATTTGTATCCTATTATTTATTTATTTTTTCAAAATTGTCAGAATATGCAAACAATCAGTTTAAAAAATTTTCAAACTTCACTGAGCAGATACATGAATTTTGTTTTATTGCTTTTTATCTCAGTTTGCTTAGGAACAGGTGATGTGGCATTTCTTTAATTAGAAAACTGAAAATTCTTTGGTTTTGCATAATTTTTTTTTTATTTAGAGTGTATGTTGTATTCTATAGCATAATGCCACTGGCCATAAACTTTCTAATGTTTTTAAAAGAAAATGGTTATGAAGAGCATGATAGAGAAAGCCTAGTGTTTGAAGAGTATAGAAGCACTCAAAAATAATGAATTCATAGATTTTTTTTTTTTAAATAAAGTTTCTGAAATGCAAAATGCATTAGAAAAATATGTTTTTGTCCACCATGTACTATTTTAAGGCTATTTTGTGTTTCCTTCTTTCATTATCAGCAACTGAAAGAATGATTTCGAAAAGGAAAACAAATAAGAATAAAATTAAGGAATCAACTATTAAATCCCTAAATGAAATTAATTCTTCTAACAAAAGGATAGAATGTTCCGCTGATTTTACAATTTCTGAACAAATAATTAATTAACCCCTTAACCGCCGTGGAAAACATATAAGATTAATTTCCCAGTGCCACGGTTTTTCACACGGGCGCTTGTAGTTATGCAGTGTATGAGGGGGAAAATAAGTGCAAATTTTACTTTCTAAAAACTGTTTACTTTCACAAAATAAATAATAAAAGGAAAAAAAAATGAATGCACAAAATTTAATGTTTTGAGTAAAAGTATAATAAAAACATGTAAGTATAATAAAAATGATATTTTTATAATAAAAAAGATCCTTAAAATGGAGTTTCGATCAATTCATTTTTAGACCAGTAAAGTGTAATATCAGGTTTCAGTGTTATACCTTGTGAAATCAGTATGCCTAAAAAACATACGAGGCGTATTCGGAAACTAAGTACCATTTAAAAAAAAAAAAATAGTAAAACAATTTTTTCGAATCCAATTTTATTTTTACATGAAAATACATGTCTTAAACTATTTTTCAACATAGTTTCCGCCAATGATCAAACACTTGTCATAGCGGGTGACCATTTTGGTATACCATCGTCAAAGAAACTTCCCGCCTGTTTTGTGAACATCAGTGAGCATTTTTGGAACCCATCGGGAACACAGTTTGTGATAATTCAAGCGGTCAGACACAATTTCGAACAAAACAGTACGTGAAATTTTGTGGAAATGCCTCTGAAAGAGTTGTCATTGTGAAGCGTCTGTTCTCATGAATTGCTTCATCAACTTTCCTTACCAAATCATCGGTGACAACAGAAGGCCGACTACTCCGAGCCTCGGCGTGGACATTTGTTCGACGTGCATTAAACATTCTTACCCACTCTCTCACCATTCTATCACTTATCGCGTATTCACCGTAAACTTCTGTCGCTTGACGATAAATTTCGGCCAGTTTAACATTCCTCACGTTCAAAAATTTAATCGCGGCACGAATCTCACAGTCAGCGAAAGAACTAATTGTCTTAAACATTTTGAATGTGCACAGCAAACTGAAAACACAACATAGAGCAACCAAAATGGCGACAATTGAAAGTCAGTGAACAAAAAAGACTAGTGTGCATGCGCAGAACGCCTACCACAGCGCTAAAATGAAACGGTACTTAGTTTCCGAATACGCTACGTATATTTCTTCTGAACTGGTTGAATGCCACGATTTTGTTCTTGATTTTTCGTTTGCAAGGTGTTGGTTCATATACTCGTCTACAAAACGGTTAATTTCAGTAACAATATGAAGCACGAGCAGTTCATCAAAAAATAATTCAAAAAAGATAAATGAGTTTAAAACATCCATTATATCTTTCTTTATTCCTAAACATACTACAAAAAGTAAACAAAAACGGAGGACACAATCAAAAAAATTAGTTTTACTCAAACAACACCAGCCAATACTGTGCAATGATTACTTTCACTTCTTTAGACACATCCATCTCTCAAATTTCACCCCACACTTCTCTGAAATAGTATCCTCCTTCGCACACTTTGCAAAGGTCATTGTGGTTCCAAAGCTTTGCGAATAATTTTACGGGTAGCAGCGCAAAGCAAATGATAGTATTTTGGAAGGGCGTTTATATGCGCCCGTGGCAGTTACGCATCGGCTGAGCAAGGCGTATATATATGCCTGTGGTAGTTAAGGAGTTAATCAAAAAAGTAATGAATAAATACTTTCACTGTTTTTCTTGTTAGTAGTAAAACCTGTGTATATATAAACACTGCTAAATACCTCTTTATATGCTTATATACTGAAAATGTAATATTACATCATTTTAAATGTTAAAATAAGACTAAGATTATATGATAAGTTGATGCACATATTAAATGGTAAAGTTACATTGAAATTTCTGTTATGACGATTGGAAACTATATTTTATGGTCTTTTGGCAATGGTTTATTCCACAATATTCCAAACTTATATTTCCTTGCTTGTTCCCCAAAATTTACATGACAAAAGCAAAGTTTGTTTGTTCGATCTTTATAGTGGTTAGTATGTGTCATGTGACCTGCTTCAGTGGTACGAATGCCAAAAAACGACACTTAGGACTACAAGAATTACATTTCAAGGTAGAGATTAACTCACTAACTTGTTTAGTCATTTGTGCTATATGGAGTTCCAAACGAGTAGCAGCAGATTCACTTGGCTCAGGGGTCACAATAGCCATATTCACATAAGAATGAGGTGTAAGGTCAGTAAATCTTATCAGCAACCATAGCCAATTTACTCAAATCATCTTCACAAAGAGCAGCTAAAATAGATTGTGTGCTATTCCGAAGCCTTGCAAGCCACAAAGATCTAAGAGAAAGGTTCACTTACAGTATCACATGCCAAAGTGCACATATTAGTCAGTAACTAAGAAGGACAATGGCCGCCAAGCTCTAAACCTTGCAACAGAGCAGGAATTTTCAATGCTTCGCTCTTGAAATTCGCCGAAATCAAGTTTTGTTTTAGGACATCATATTTTCCAATAGCAGGAGGTTTTAAAATGATATCGCCAACAGAATTAAGTATATCAGAGTCTACAGCAGCAACAACATGGTTAAAGTTTTTTAAATCCAATGTTATATTGGAAAGGGAAAACTGCGATTCCAGTCTGACATATCATAAGGCAGGGCTTGTTTTCCAAATAGATGGTAGTTTTACTAAAACATGTGTCACGTATGTAGCCGCTGCACCTTCAGCTGCATCAGCAGAATTTTCATTATGCAACATAACCAACTTCATACAGCTAAGCATTAGAAATATTAATACCAGAACATTACATAAAATTGCACATCCATACCTATTAGGAATAAAAATGCATCTAAATAAAAATAAAATACTCACTACATAAAAGAATACTGTATGGAGGAAAAATCAACGAGTTGCACTCTCAAACACACAATAAGCTGTGAATAAATATTCAATGTCAGCATTGAAATATTAAGGATTAAGTACTTTCACTGAAATATTCCTGACTTGTAGCTCCACAATAGAATTGTTTGCACAGATGCTGCTGCCATGGAGTACTTCACTCTGGCCACGCATAACTGCAGCATTATTCTTAAATCACCAAATGTGGCATTGGTTTACTCCAAACTTGTCAGAAGGTTCATTTGAAAGGAAGGCCAAAGACTTTAGTAAACCATAAAATTAACTTAATTTTAAATTAAAAGGTAAAATACGAAATTAAGTACGTGATGATAAACCAACGTAAACTGTCGACCATGAATAAGCAGGAACAGTGAAATGTAAGTGCAAGTGAGTCTCTCACCGAAATGTTCAATACTCATGCTACAACAAGTGTGCATGGGTATAGCGCAGCAAACATGGATACTGCATGCAAATGTTAAAATACAAATATTATTGTAAGAATGCAGAATCTCCATCACAGTCGTGTAGATGATTATAGTGAGTTAAATTATGACTTTTTTCTTTTGATTTGCATGTTTAATTTAGTGGTTTTACATTGAATTAATTTACAATATAAGATATTATCGCAAAATAAAGGAGGATGAAATGAAAGCAAAGGAAAATTTAGAATTTTTTTCTTTTTTAATTGGCTTAAATATTTTTGGTAGATGATCATTTAGGGCAGATTTCTTGGAAGAAAGTTGCTAATTCCTAAATTGGTGCAAAATCTTGCATTGTGCAAAAATTTGTGTACTTTCTCAACAAATGTCATATATGTGTGTGTTTGTTATCATGAAAGAATTCCATTTTTTATTTTATTTATTTATTTTTTTTTTTTTAGATTTACAGTGGAAAAGTGACAAACATCATGCAGTTTGGTTGTTTTGTACAATTAGAAGGGTTAAGAAAAAGGTGGGAAGGACTTGTACATATATCCCAAGTAAGAAACTGATTGTAAGGAATGATATTTATATTATGTAGAAAATACATTCATTATACTTGTAAAATAGTGTCTACTTTTATTAATTTCTACAATTTAAATTGTACCTTCTTAGTAAAGTATTATTTATTTTTTACTGATAAGTATACAGCAATTTATAAAGAAGTATGTTGAGTAATATAGACATAGAACTTACCATTCATAGAAAATTCATAGAAAATTTCATAGAATTTGTTTTCTGCTGATAGGAAAGAAATCATAGAAAATTACCATTCGAAACTTTTTGTTTTATTGCTTAATTGATCAAAAAGCTGTTGTTAACATCCAAAAATATTTTGACTTTAAAAGTCTCATAGTTAAAGTGTGATATTTATACTGAACACTATAGGTTTTTTGCTCTTTATTTTAAAATTTAAGTCTTTTTTTCGTCGTTTGTCTCTTTTCAACACCAGAAATTGGAATTCTTCTAGAAGGAGCTTTTTGTCTTTCTAATAGAATTCCTTTGTCTGACATTTAAAAGTTACTAATATTGAAAAACAAGTGGTTTGTGTATGGGATTTTGAGGTGGATTATTAATGAGGTAACCATGCATATGCTGGTATCTTCTTCTTCTTTTATATATATATATGTACTGAAATTTTTGTTTGTTTTGAAATTTAAAGTTCTTAAATATAAACTTTATCACAGTTTTATAATTAATAATTCTTTTTCTATGTATTTTTAATAATTCAATTAATGCAGGAAAACTGAACATAGCATGTAATTTAAGACTGACATTAAAACACATTTTGCATTTTTTATTAAATGTAATCAAATAATTAATGCTTTGAAATTATTTTTAACCTTTTGATGGTCATGAACAAGCTTAGCTCACGTTACAAATTTACAACTGACAGGTATTGGGAAGAAAAAATTGCTTAATCTAACAACCACCAAAGAGTTAAGTAATTTTAAATATATGGTTAAGAGGATAGTATTTCACTTGTTTGCATATGTAATAACAGCTCATGCCGAAATGAGAAATTAATCTAATTACGAACTAGTTTTCTGTTTGGAGAAGCTGATGCAGTAGCACTTTTTGAAACTTTTATATCAGAAGATTATATGTTATTAGATCTGTCATAGTTCTCTAAGTTTTTAAAATTTTGTAAAATTACTTATTGGTTTTAAAGCTGCTTTTTGAGTTGCAAAGTGGTTTAGATTTTGTTATGTTTAATTTTGTATTTTAACTTTAAATAATTTATCTGACCATTATTTAACCATAATTGCCCATCAAACTCTCTTATCCACCTGTTCCAGCTGACATATATCATTATAAAGGGCAAGAACAAAGGGGGCTTTCCTATTCTTATTGTAGTTTTACTTTAGTTAGTTATAGTATTTTCTCCCATTGAGAAGTTAAATTCAGGGTTTCCTTTCTCCAGATGCTTTACAAAACAATTAATACATGGTCTTAGTAATCTTGCAATTTTTTACAGGTAATCCTTCTTGAAGAATTTTAGATACACAGTGAAACCACTATAGCGCACGTTTCTAAGCCACCTCTGAAAGTGACTTTTTTTTTTAATATAATTAAATTTAGAATGGAGCATCAGCAATAATTATATTTTTGAAAGCACCACCTCCATAAAAGAAGGAATTTTTTCGAAGTGTTGATGGTTTATTGTGTTTCAAATTTTAACAGAAATCAGAACAGAGAAACAGAAAGAGAGAGGTTGTGATTAAAAGAAAATGAGAATAATTATGAACACTGCTTTCAGAGTTCTTTGTCCACGCTAGACTTCAAAGAGGCAGAATTTATGAGATTAACGGGAAAAATTTTCTAGAAACATTTACTACTTGATTACCAGTTCGGAAGAAGTATAATTGCCGCTTCATCTTTTTTAAGGTTCCCACATTCAAAATATTCCCTTTGGAATAAATTCATTATGTTCATGGAGTTGCAAAAAAAGTCCATGAAATGTTTCTAAGCATTACTGTAACTTAACATTCTCTGAATGGAAAGGAATTGATAACTGTAAGCTGAAGAAAAAGGTAAAGAAAGCATTGATCATACTTGTAATCATGAAGTGGCAGATCAACTACATAGATAAAGGGCAATCTTTGTCATGGCTAGAAATATAAGTTTTGAAGTTTGAATAAATTGCTGGAAGAAGCATCCCCCCTTTTTTAATCCCCCCATTTGTTGTGTGCTTGATTTGTAACATGTCAAAAATGCCAAGCAAAAAGACAGCCTGAACAAAAAGTATAAATATTTTTAATGTTTTTGATAATTACAGCCAAAGATAATTACAATATTTATAATAGGCATTTCACACAGATTGAAAAATTTTTTAGCCAAGGAATTATAATTAATGCAAAACTAATAAAATTTTCAAATGTCTGAAGAATGCACCAAAAAAAAAAAAAAAAAAAAAAAAATCAAGAGATGCAGAAATTGCTTTTCTAGAATGATTTTAAACTTTGAAGCTAAAAATATTTCTATTTTTAGAGCTCTTACAACTAATTCACTAAATGCTAGGAGAAAATTTTATATCAACTGACATATCAAGCATAGAAGCAGATCGTCATATAACTGATAATTGGATAAAAGGCATTTTAATTGGACTAAATGAATACAAATGAAACAAAATTTACAATACAGATGAATCTGGACAGTGTTACAGAACATACCAAAGCACACATTAATATTTTTAAATGAAACAGCAAGTGGTTTAAGAAACTAAACGAGTGAGTTACTGTGTTATTAATGTGTACTATAGATCCATCTCTTAAGAAGGTAGCACTGATTATTGACAAAAGCAGAAAACTTTGATGTTTAAAAGGAGTCATGAATTTAACTTTATATAGCAACAAGAACTTATTGATGAAAAGTAGTATTTTTACTGATTAGCTTTTTAAATTGGACAGCAACATCATCTTTTTCTAGTGGCGCTTTCTGCAAATCTCAAACTTTACACTATCTCTGATATTGAGCTTGCCATCATTAACTCAACAGCAGAATTAAAGAAGCACTTGATGACTCAATAAAAGTTGTTCATCAAGAAAATCATAATGGCGACCGTGCTCGCTTGCTCATATTCCTGAAAAAAATCCGACACAAAAATCTAGTGAGGAAATAGTAGAAACTTGCTAGAGATCATGATATCAAAAGATAGAAGTCAGAAAAATAAGTGATCTTATTGATTACAGAACTGAAAGATGGGAATCACTTTTAGGTAATATGGCGGTTGAGAAAATGGGGAAATTGAAAGGTTCTTATGATCTGAGTATCCTAACCATATCAGCCCATTTATACAGGGTAATAACATTGCTCAATCAGAACAACGAATTGCTAAACTTTTTGCCAAAACTCAAGAAGAAACTGTCAATCATAATATGTCAAATGGAAAAACTCATGAAGATGAAATAAACAAAGAATTAATCTCCTTAATGGATAAGGATTCAACTGAACTTTTACAACATAGTGTCCAAATGAAGTTAATAACGTTTTTAAAAATTAAAATGCAAAGAAAGCTTAAGGGTATGACAGTATCTTGAAGGAAGTCATTAACCTAGCCGCAAACTCAAAAATTTTTCACCTCTTCTCCTGGTCTTTGGATAGAACACCAAATCTTATGGTTTTTAATTATTAGCCTTTATGAAGGAATATGTTTCCCATCAATAAATGGAATATATTGAATTGTTGAAACTTAAATTAAGCAAATTCCATTTCCCTACCTCTATTGATTTTCAGAATAATTTTTAAAATTAAATTTCATTTCATCTGAAAATAATAAAAGTGGCATATCGACTACATAGATAAAGGGTTTATGTATGTCAACTACATAGGCTTCTGGCTTCTCTGATTGTATTTTTTCTTATCATATTGTATTGATCTTTCTCGTATTAAATTTCATTTGATCTGAATTGTTGTAATCTACTGTAGGCATTTGTAGATTTTTATATGAAGATCAAAGCACTGTTTAATTAGTTATTATTGGTATTTAATATTGTTTACTGCAATAAATAGTATGTTACTAAGATTATCCACACAGATAGTATGTACAATAATTATTACCCTATAAAGTATTTATAAAGTATTTCTCCCACATTCGTGGTGTAGTGGTCTGCACCCTGGGCATGTATTCCAAGAGGTCCGTGGTTTGATTCACAACAAAGGCGTTGCTCATTTTTCAAGTCTCCTCCTAAGAAAAAATCCTAATGTCTCTACAACCCAAAGGTGTGTTAACCCAGAAGGGCTATTAGTCTCAAAATGACATTTCGTATCGAATCACTATACTATAAAGGGTTTTGTCACTTTTCAAATTGTTGGCCACAAATATTATTGCCCTGTATTGTGTTTAAAGAAATTAAATAATGAAGAATCTGCATGAATGTATGTATGTTTCTCGCATTGTGATAAAAACAACGATACCTAAAGCCGTTAAATTTTGAATAATTTAGTCCTCCATCTGAATATGGGTACCTGGAAGCCCAAAGCGTGAATTTTGAATTTGTTTTATTATCTGTTTCATATTTTTTAAACTTTAACAAATTTTTATAAAGAAACTTAATGATTTCAAAATGAGTAGTGACAACACACTGTACTGAATAATATAATTTTATCTCCCTAAGAATTTTTATCAAAAATTCTGGAGATATGCTGTTTTTAAATATTTTAAGCCCAAAGAGGTGTTAGCCCAAATGCTCTCAAAATGTGTATGTATGTGTAAATGGGGGGGATGCTGCTTTAGGCAAAAATTCAAATCTGAAAGCTTTCAGATTTTTTTCTAATTTTTATTTTTATTGTATTCAAATGTACTTCAATAAAATAAAAGTTTTCTTTTCTTACTTCAGATTTTCTTGGTATAAAAGTGTAAGAAAATTGCAAAGTGAAATTACCCAAAGAACATAAAATTTAGAATATCTAATTAAATGTTAGCACATTTCACATCTGAATTGAATTATAAATAATTTAATAACTTGAACTATGTGTTATAAAGTGAGTTTAAAGTCAGTTTGGAGTTCCTTTGAAATGGTGTCACCATGTGTCGTGAACTTTCAGTTTTTAAGATTTCAATGTTGGCAGCTATGCATTAAGGAAGCTCCCAGGAAATTTGCTATCCTTGTTACTGAGATAATTAATACATGTCATAGGCTTTCATACTTTCTGTAACAGTGGAAGCATGCTGTCATTATCACCTTTTTTTAAATCTGGCAGAAATCAAAGTCTGCACACAAGTTGTAGATTTATAAGTTTGCTTTCCTTTTTAGGAAATGTTTTCAAGAAGATAATTCAACAAAGTTTGAATGATGAACTCATTAAAAGTATTCAGTATGGTTTTAGAAAAGCGTAAATAAAACCATGCAAATCCTAAATTTGAGGGAAACATCTCTGAAGTTCTTACCAAAAAACAATGTGTTGCTGCCTGTTCACTAGAAATGGAAGAGGTATATTTGATAAAATTTGGCATCAAGGACTGATTTATAAACTTGCAACAAATTGCCTCTGGGGATGCTTAAATTTTATCTGGAATTAAAACTTTCCAGGTGTGAGGAGTAGATGCACTTTCAAGCAAAAAAAATCTGTGCAAGTGCACGACAAGGCTTGGTTTTAGCACCTGCATTTGTTAACATATATGTAAATGATATGCTAGAAGCATTAACTGCAGGTTAGCCAAGTATGCTGATGACATATTTCAGCTGATGATATAAATTAGTCTGCAATATGCCACTGTCAGTCTGCAGTTCAGTTTTAATATTGTAGCACACTGGTGTAAACTGGAAACTCAAATTAAATGCAAGCAAATGCAATGTCATTGTATTGAAACGCCATGAGGGAAATCATTCAGTTAACCTATGTATACAAATGGATACTCAGTGACCCCCAATAGTAAATTCAACTAAATATTCAGTCATCATTTTAGATGCACAATTGAATTTTAAAGAGCATGTGATCTGTGTTCTAAAGAAAGCTAATGCATTTATGATTGTGTAAGGTCTCGTCAGAAAAACATCCAAATTAAACCTCCTTTATGTCAAAAGAACTTTATATCACATCCTAATAAGACTTGTACTTTTCTACCATAACTGTATGGGCTACGGCTTTAAAAATTGACAGGAAAAAACAGGATGCTTTTTCGATATAACCACAAATATATTTTCGATATAAAACACTATGGCTTGTCAAAAACCAGGAATTCATGAAGATCTGAAAATGCAACATGCGCATCTCAAAGGGCAAAATTTCTGAAAGTGTAAAAGCTCGCATAACTTTACAGGGGAGTTATGTCTTGAACCTCTGACTGCATTGTTAAACTTACAAGACTGTGACCCTACACTAGAACATGGGTTCAGAAAACCATGAACAAATCACCACAGTGGGGTATATTAGTCAATAAGTGTGTTTGTATGTAGTGTACGTAATGTTTTGTATTCGTGAATGTCATGTAGTTTATTTCAACTGCATTTTGTGCTTTCCCTATTGTTTATTTCATACTTTTTATTCAGACTGAAGTCCAAGATTAGTGATTTTAATGACTTCACAATATATATTCCCCCCCCCCATTACTGTGAATATTCAAAATTTCATGTTTTTCTCCATTTCATGTTTTTCATACTATTTCACGCAAGGCACCAGGATACCATGATTATCATTTCTGCCAGTCAAGTTAAAATCATATCCCAGCTCAAACAGCCTAGAATTTTCACCTATTTCAGTGGCATTTATACACTTATTATTTTTAATTACCACCATCTACCAAGAGCATTCATCAGTTCCAGGTGAACGCTCATAAGATTGGAAGCCTAAACACTATCCAATATTTTTGCTTTCTGCAAATACAACTTTTAACATCCACCGTATATACCAGGATATTATAAACGATTTCAAATGTCATTACAGAAAAGATATTCAGAAACTGATGAACAGAACTGAATTTTGTAAAAATGCAAGCACTATGAAGGAGATAAATAATTCAGTATCTCTAGGTGCTATGCATATTACACACAATGTAAGGGATTCATCTCTTAAAATCAGTTAAAAACTATTTTTTGAAATATGGCTTTTATATGGAAGAAGCCTCAGAGAAACTGCAAGCTATACTTTATGTTTGAGACATCAATGAGAGAAGTTATGAGGTTCATTTATTCACAAATATACTGAGGCAACATGAATAAAAACTGTGAAAGTGTTAAAAGAACTGTAGAGATGGACAGCGAAAGTGATACAGAAAAAAGTGAGGATATGCTAATATCAATCAAATCTTGAAAAGCACTGCAAGTTCTAAGAAAAACTCTTAATCTGAAAGGTGGTGATCCAAAAAAGGCTGCCACCAATTTTACAAAATTGAGAATGCAAATGAAAAACTGTTGTTGAACAGTATAAAAGAAACATGGAAGAGCTGTTTGTAAGAGATAAAATTTTATCAAGAACATAATTATAAGAATATTTTTATAAAAAATTAGAGAATGAATTTCAAAATTGCATGAATAGTATTAGTTTTGGCATTAATTTTTAAATATTTAGAATTAATTATTCAATTGTTAGTTATTATTTTATTTCAGAAGTTTAAAACTGATATCCCAATTTGTAATACACACATTGCCATCTATTAAACTCAATTGTATTTGGAATGAAGGGATTTTAATAAGTGGTGGGTACTGCATATTATATCAAGCTGTGTTCTTTCCCTTAGGTTTAGGGAAATGTTTCATTTTTAATGCAAGCGAATTGTTCTTTCTCTTCTGTTTAGGGAAATGTTTCATTTTTAATGCAATGCGAATTGATGATCTTACATTTCTTAACTATTTTATATTACATTTATTTATAACAGAAATACGTTCAAATACTGTTGTCGGGGAAAAAATTGAAGTGGGAATGGTAATAAAATAATTTTATTTATTTTTTAGTTTACTAAGGGATTCCTCCCTCTGTCTTTAAAAGAGATAATAGTCTTTTTGTGTTGGATTCTTATTTTGCCGTAAACAACGTTTAAAAAACCTTAAAAGAAATAGTTTTGATAAAATTATATTTATGTATTAAAATTTTGTGTCAATTTAGCTCCGACGAGAAGGCAGAGTCACTAGTGTTGGTGATGTAGTCCAGAAAGGCCAAAGAGTAAAAGTGAAAGTTCTGTCTTTTACTGGACAGAAAACAAGCTTATCTATGAAGGTAAGACCAAAATTATTTAATACTGTTAAGCACAAAATTGAAAAAAATTTGTGTTTTATAAGCATTTTGTATTTTAAATTAAAAAATAATATGGGTACTGCTTCTTGATGATGCTATGGCAAAGGTGCTGACACCTTTTACTCAAAGTTGCAAAGACAGAAATTCTCATGAGGATGCTGCAGCATAAAGTTGTTTACAACCTAATGCAGATCAATGTCTAACTTGAGGGAAAAGAAAAAGTTTGTGCTGTCCTTGAAAGACTTTAGAAGGAGGGTGTAAAAGTTTTTTTGGCTCTTAAGTTCTTGGCTTTGTTCAGAGTAGTGTTTTGTAGTCATAGGAAGCATTTGTCGAGCTTCATTGCTGAGCAACCAGAGATTACTATAATATAAAAACTGGTATAAAGATTCTGCCTGAATATTCTAACTCTTTGACTTAATGCCAACTTGGTATGAGAACTGACAAATCACAGTGAAGCAAACACAAACTGATGTTTGATCGATAGTTTTGCTGAGGCAACTGCATATTTAGACATGAACAATTTTACCTTCTTTGGTTGGCTCTGTTTTAAACCCTGTTCCAGAGGTGTGAACAGACTAAATAACTTTTATGCATTAAACCCGCGACAGTAATGATGACTAGACTGACTTTTATAAATGGCCCCTTAGGGAGCATGTAAGAATCAAAACTATGTCATAAGTCATAAGCCAAATTTATTTGCATCTGTGAAATAGGATATAAGCTGTAACCAATCAGAAAGTAAATTTACACTTTTATGTATTTGTGTACAGGTCTTCAGCTTGCTCGCTTTTCTGTTTTTGGCTTCTTCGAATGCCATCTTAGCATAAAGTTAAAAGATTAGAACATTTAAGCTCCATTTCCATTAGTGTGGTATAAATGTTTAGCACCATTGGGAGACATATATTTGAAACACCAGGTATCTAAGAAGATTTACAGATCCATGCTTGATGATTAAAAATCCAAAAAATAACTGTGACAAAATGAAAATGTGTAAATGTTGATAACAAAATGTATTTTATAAGAAAAATTTGATGAAATAAAATCCATCGATAAATTTTCATCATTTGCTGGAAGGAACAGTGAAAACAAAATTATTTAAGTTCACCATTTGATTCCCAAAGTCTTTTTTCTAGATATGTTCCCCTCCCCCTTTTTCCCTTATTTAAAAGTGTGGAAATTTGTAAATCTGTTTCTGTTCTTTTCACATTTACAAGCATGTGTTAAAAGGGCTTCTTGGTCCACAAAGGAACTGAAAATCTAAAAAATTAGTCTTTTATTTCCTAATGTACATTAAGCAATTTCTTAAAGTTTTCTAGAAATATTTAAAAGAGGGAATGTACTAAAAAATTGAAATTAGCAGCTTTTTCTGGATGTTATAAATGCATGTAGTATTTATAATAGCAAAAATCTTCAATATAATTAGAAAATTCAAGAATGAATTGCTTTCTTTAAAAGTGTGTTATTTTTTTCAGTTTTTTATGGCCTGTTAATATATTATATATAAATGATTTTTTAATTATTTTTGAGACATTTTAAGGTAGTATTTACCGTTCTGTAGTTAATTTAATTACATTGGGATTGGAATTCTGTAACATTTAATAGTTTTGCTAAAAATATTCTATTATGTTTTCATTTTCTTCAGGATGTTGATCAAGATACAGGAGAAGATTTAAATCCCTCAGTAGCAGTTACTGAATCTTCCAGGAAAAGGGATCAGGATATATTAAGAAACCCTGATCGTCCTTCCTGTCTTCCTCTAATTTCGAAGCTTGATGACAACAATGTGGACAATAGAAGGCATGTCCAGCGGATTTCTTCTCCAGAACGCTGGGAAATAAAACAGGTTTGTTGCAGTTTTAGTTTTTGTTTGTAAATATTCCAAAATGCTGAATAATTTCTTTCGTCTTACTGTTTTGCCATGTGTATTAAATACACATAGCAAAAATTAAGAATTCAGTTAGAATTCGAAATAGTCAAATTTTTTAATCATTGCTCGTCTTGATGTTTGAGAAAACCAAATAGCTATGTTCCTGTCTGTAGACCAAATGCATTTTTACTGTGAGAAAATTTTATTTTTTCATTCATTGTGTTGTATTTACACAAAGATTATGCAATTAAAAAACATAAAAATTCTTTTACTTCTGTAACCTCCCCCCTCAAAAAATGTGACAAAGACATGATGAATTGGTTTTTACTTCTCTGCAGCCTATTAGATAACTGTTATCATTATATCATCATGGATTCAAGCATACCATATTTTCACTTCTGATATTTTGCATAAAGTGATATTTTTTTGAGGAAAGTTGCAGAGGCTCCAGAAACTTCAAACTCCTATTCATGATTTCATTGAAACATTTCAAATGAACATCCAGTAAGAGTCTTAGAGAATAAGAGGAAAGAAATGGAGACATGTTTGGATGTTCATGCTTATATTTTCCAACAGCTACTGTACAGGCATTTGATATTACATACTGTGGTCCTAGTGCATGACAGGTATATAGTTAATTTTCAAATGCATTGTGTATATTTCCTATGTGAATAAAGATTGAATTAGATACCTAAAAATTTACTGCTTTTCAATTCCTTCTTCTCCCTGTATGCATGGGGGTAGGAGTTGGGATGGCAAGAAAAAAATTGTGAAATGTACTTTTTTTCAATATAGATGCTTGCAGCCAATTGCATTGATAAGTCTGAGTTACCGGATTTTGATGAATCTACTGGATTACTTCCCAAGGATGAAGATGATGGTATGTTTAAATGCACTAATTGACTTTTATTAACATCTGAAAGGGCACTATAATTTAGTTGTTCTATACCACTAATAAAAATTTAAATTATAGTCTATATATTATAGTTTATGTAATCTAATAGAAATCTGATAGAAAAAAAGAGGGGAAAAAAGTGAGTACTATTATTACTTATAACTATTGCAACTTAGCTTAAACTGTGGATTACTTCTAATAATAAAGTTGTCTGATAAGTAATAGCAGAGTTTTTATATGGAACATTCAGTATATAAATTGAAGCAGCCCAAATCTTTTTTTATTATTATTATTCTGATTCACATTATAGAATGAAAGCACTGATAGGTGTATACAGTTTATGCTTATTACTAGAAGCCTACATTGCATCCTACAGAGAAAGAAAGAAAAAAAAAAAGATATAAGGAATGATTGCTAGAGCAAATTTTTTATTACACTCAGATTTAGATGAAGATTTTTTGTACAAGTTATTATTATGAATGATTACATGATGTAATGAAGAATTTAAACTCCATTTTCACCCCATCTGCGTACTCTGTATTAGTTGTCTATTTTTATATTTGGCGTACTGCATGTAATTTTTGTGCATTTGGTTTCCCCTTAAAAGTTTGTGTAATAATAAACATGGTACTGTAGCTCTTTTAATTTTTAGTATTGGCAACATCTACAATATTTTGTATCAAGAAATAATATTATTTTAGATGCAAACAAAAATTGATATATCAGTGATATGTTCAGGAATGATACCTAAATAATTTAAGGACTCCTATGTGATATGCATTTTGCCAAACCTTTTAACCATTAATTTGTGAGGCATTTCTGAATCTTTTTTATGATAAAATTAAATAATGAATATAATTTTAATTATCACTCATATTCTAAAAATCTGTTGAGCAATTTAAAAACTGCTGCCCTATAATATTCTAATACATAAGACAATATTGTAAATGTATTTTTTTTTTTATCCTTGTGATTTTTTAAGCAATATTTGCTTTCCTCTAACTTGAAGCTACAGCAATTAGGGTTGGCCATATGCTGGCAGAAAATGACTATTACTAGCAGGAACTATGCATATTATTATTATAATGAATAAATAATTCAAGTTTTATATTGTCATAAAAAGTATTAATTAGTAATATTGCTAATCTATCAAAATATTTTGATAGATAAAAAGTTGCATATGCTTCAGTTCATACGTTGTAAGATTCAAAAGTTTCCGGACTGAGTCTATAACATAAATATTTTTTGCAGTAGTGCAACTATGGGAACGTTTTTGTGTTATTACATTCTCCCTCTTTTCTAAAAGTGGTTTGTTCCAAATCATGTGGTTGAAAACTCGCAGCCATAACAAATAATGGGGTCATTTAAGCAGAGAAACAATATTAAATTTTGCGTTCGCTTGGGAAAGAGTGCTACAAAGACTTTCGAAATGTTGAAGCATGTGTACGGAAGTGAAACTTTATCGAGAATGCAAACTTTTGAGTAGCATCATCGTTTCAGAGGAAGCACGGAAAGTGCTGAAGATGATGAATGCTGTGGCCATCCCATGACTTAATGCACCAATGAAAACATCAAAAAGGTGTCTGCAGTGCTACGTGCGAACAGACAGCAAACATATGCCAAATAGCAGAATCAATTGGGATATCAGAGGCCACATGTCAGCAGATACTAACTAAGGATCTTAACATGTGTAAGGTGTGTCAACACATCGTTCCCCGCATGTTAAACATAGACCAAAAGGGAATTCAAATAGAAATGTCAGGAGACTTAATCTCGGCTGTTGACAAAGATCCTTCCCAACTTGGCAGAATTGTTACTGGAGATGAGAAATGGTGTTTTTTGTACAACCCACAAACCAAGAGAGCATCAGCCACATGGAAATCACCACAATCTTCATGGAAGCAGAAATTTCGCCAATATCATTCTAAATAAAAGGTCATGCTAGAGGTATACTTCGATATCCAGGGCATTGTGCATCTGAAATTTATCCCTGAAGGATGCACTGTGAACACATCTGTGATGCACTGTGAACGTCGAAATCCAGCGTGGTTTGCGTGAGTCGATCCGGAAGAAGAGACAAAAAATGTGGGCTGAGCAGTGTGGGTGCTGTTGCATGATAATCATACCTGCCAACTTTTACGAATTTTTCGTAATTTTTACGAAAATGCGTTTGTTTTTACGATTTTACCATCGTAATCCATTTTTTCCGATTTTTTTCCTTTTTCAAGTGTTTTTAGTGATTTTTGTCGAAATTTTAGAATTTTTCGCCAATTGCATCGTGTTTTACCGCCAACTACCGACTACTTCAAATCCAGTAACCTGCAGTTTCTCCCAACTCGCCGCTTAACCAGCCAATCCAATGCGCTGAACTTGTTTCTCCCACTCTTTTCTTTGTGGGCACCAGATTATTTTTTTAGCGTGCATTGTCGCATTCTGCTTTTTTTTTTTTTTTTTTTTTTTTTTTTTTTTTTGCACGTGCTACGAATTTTCTTAATACGTCGTTAAAAAAAACCGTATTCTCAATATTTTCGGCCTGCCTACAAAGCCGAATTTCCAACAATTAAAGAATCCTTCAAAGGAAATAACTATGCATTTTGCAGCATGTGCGTGTGTGACTTCATAATAAGTCACGGTGGAAGAAGCGACATTGTGAAGCATGTTAAGTCTAAAAAGCATAAAGTTCATGCTTCGGCTTCGACAACGTCAAAGAAAGTGGATGACTTTTTTTTCAAATTCGGCTATGAATTCGGATGCCGATGTCATTTTGGCAGAGTGTTTGTTTACTGCATTCCTCATCGAACACAACGTGCCGCTAAGCACTGCCGATCACGCCGGTCAACTTTTCAGACTGATGTTTCCCCGACTCCAAGATTGCTCAGAAATATGCTTGTGCTCGCACGAAAACATCTTCTATTGTGAACGAAATTGCTTGCGATGCACAAAGTAAAACGATAGCTGCACTCCAGAATTCAGCATTTTCAGTGTCAATCGATGGCAGCAACGAGAGCGATTGGAAGCTTTACCCCATCGTTGTCACATATTTCTGTGATGTTTCTAATGAAATGAAAACTCATCTTTTGCGTCTTCCATTGTTAAATGGAGACACTACGGGGGAAAATATTGCCTCCTTGGTAATTAATGAGTTGAAACAACTTAACATCTCAATATCAAACTGCATTTCATTTGGTGCAGATAATGCTCATGTCATGGTGGGTGACAAAAAGGATGTAGCCTTCTTTCCTCAAAAAAGAACAAAATGAATTAATTGTTATTGGATGCCCATGCCACTTAATTAATTTGGCAGCAGAAAAAGCTGCAGCTGCTTTACCATTAAATATTGACCAGCTTCTGATTGATGTGTTTTCTATCTGGAAAAAAGTGTAAAAAGGAAAGAAAACCTAAAGAATTTCCAAGAACTGTGCTCTGGTGAAACGAGAAAAATTCTGAAACATGTATGCATGAGATGGTTATCCTTAGGCAGAGCGCTAGGAAGGTTTATTGAACAGTGGGATACATTGCTAAAATATTTCCACGAAGAGACCAAAACAAAACCACAGATCCCATCAAATTTGTCGGCATATAAGATTACGAAAACCAACTTTGCTGTCCTCGTTGGTACCTTAAAAAGAATAAAAAGAGCTGATGGAACACCAAAATATGATAGACTAGCAAGAGTTTTATGTGCTATTCTCGTAATTCCACACAGTAATGCTGAGTGCGAGAGAGTTCAGTGTTGTGAAGAAAAACAAAACTACATTTCGTTCTATTAGGAAACTAATTGTTATGAGAGGAAATTTCCAAAGAATTTTTGGCTAAAGCCAAAAAATGCACTCTAAATTCATTGCAATAATTTTTTTGTGTAACATTAAGTTCTTGTTTTATGTTTCCTAATAAATTTTTTAGTTACTACTTAATTGAAATTTACTAATGTAAGTACAATTTTCTTTTTGCTATTTGTATAAATGCGTTTTGGCCATTCTAAGACGTCTTGTCGTGGCAGCCTCACATGCGCCCGATGCTCACAGATTGGCCACGATTCTGATAATTGTACCGCTGCGCCTCTGTGTATAAATTGCAAGGGTGACCACCCAGCATTTTCTCGCTTGTGCCCAAAATGGAAATCGGAAAAAGAAATCCAAACTACAAAAGTTACTAGGAACATCTCTTACGCCGAAACCAGAAGATTAGTCCAGAGGACACAGCTTCGACCAAATACGTCATACGCCAGTGCTGTTAAATCATTTCGTACAGTTGCCACCCAAACATCAATAGGCACATGGACCCTACCAAATAAAACCCAACCGTCTACATCCAACAAGAAAAAAGAAAATGCAACCCATATAGTACAAAAAAAAAAAAAAAAAAAGAAAAAGAAAAAAGAAACTATTATTCAAAGTAAGCCCAACACTCCAACACAAAAAATATCAAATAAAAATATAAATCACAGCAATAGCTCTCTTGATGAGATGATTTCTGAATCTGCGGATTCAGACTTTATGGAAGTAGAAGAGGGTCTAGTAAAGATACAAATTGCCGAGGAAGACAGATTGAGCAGATGATCGAAGATTATAGAATTTGTCTGCTAAATAATGGGTAGGATATGTACTTCCATGAACCTTCAAGGACATTCCACGCTCTCGACCTTGCCATCTGTTCACCATCTCTGTTGCCATTTTTCACTTTTAGTGTCGGAAATGACCTGTACAATGGCGATCATTATCCCATTTTTGTGTCTCTTGCACGAAGAGGAGCAAACCCCGTGTCGAGAGTCCCTCGGTTTATTCTGGACAGGGCAGACTGGAAACTCTTCTCTTCCGCTGCAGAGCTGACAGAGGAAATGGTAGAAGACGTGCATATCGATGACGCTGTTGAAGCTGTTATTAATACTATTATTCAGGCAGCTATGCTTTTGATTCCTAGAACATCAGGAAAAATACTAAAACATTCGAAACCGTGGTGGAATCGCGTCTGTCATGAAGCACTGA